AAACACCAGGAGCTATATTGTAATCTGTTTATATTAGAATAAGATCATATAAATTTACCTTCTTTGACAAAAGTAAACACCTGGGGGTATATTGTAATCTGTTTATATTTGAATAAGATCATATCAATTAACCTACCTTGACAAAAGTAAACACCAGGAGCTATATTGTAATCTGTTTATATTAGAATAAGATCATATAAATTTACCTTCCTTGACAAAAGTAAACACCAGGAGCTATATTGTAATCTGTTTATATTTGAATAAGATCATATCAATTAACCTACCTTGACAAAAGTAAACACCAGGAGCTATATTGTAATCTGTTTATATTAGAATAAGATCATATCAATTTACCTACCTTGACAAAAGTAAACACCAGGGGCTATATTGTAATCTGTTTATATTTGAATAAGATCATATCAATTAACCTACCTTGGCAAAAGTAAACACCAGGAGCTATATTGTAATCTGTTTATATTAGAATAAGATCATATCAATTTACCTACCTTGACAAAAGTAAACACCAGGGGCTATATTGTAATCTGTTTATATTTGAATAAGATCATATCATTTTACCTACCTTGACAAAAGTAAACACCAGGGGCTATATTGTAATCTGTTTATATTTGAATAAGATCATATCAATTTACCTACCTTGACAAAAGTAAACACCAGGAGCTATATTGTAATCTGTTTATATTAGAATAAGATCATATCAATTAACCTACCTTGATAAAAGTAAACACCAGGAGCTATATTGTAATCTGTTTACACTTGAATTAGGATAGTTGTGTTGTGTGTTGGTTGTCATACTAATTCTGGCATCAGGGCTGTCAGATTTCTAAAAATAAATATGTGAATAGATCATTGGGGTGAAATGATCTTTCTGCATACAGAGATCATTATAGGAAATATAGAAAAAGCTTTTATGTAAAAAAAAGAAAGATAAACATGCTAAATTTTTCTAGCGGGTCTATATTACTTGACTCTCTAAAAAAGAAATAGGAAAACTCACCAAAGAAAAACCTAAAACCATTACATTATTACTTCTTTCATCTTTCTTTAATATTCTCTGTAAAAGATGATATATTTGATATAAAATATATGGAACTCTTTTTCAGCTAATCATATTGCTCTTACGAAATTAAAATCTGTAGTTCACGTCTCCTGCAACCTAACTCTCCATGAATACTGTCATTCCAGAGGGTTATTAACATTTCACATGCAGTTTTTGCCGGTGAAGACATTACATTGGTGATTAAAATTTCCATAGAATGACTGGTTTGATACCAGACCTACCTCAATGACCCTCATAACAATTTCTTGTTGATGAAAGTTCTGAGTAGGTGAAAATCTGTTAGGTATTGGCTTACTACATTCTGTTGTCTTGACACAAACTTTGGTAGTTCTTAATAATCTCATATAACTGAAAAGTTAAAATTAGGAAATATAAATCTTATAAATAGAGACTATGCCTATAAGGGTCTAATATTTGTTAATGTCATGCTTAAGGATGTTCTTAAGCATTTTAAATCAAGTAATCTTATAGTAAATTTAAGTTCTAAGAACATGGAAAAGACCACAGAATCATATATTAGGAATAACCTAGACCTAAAGCCTCTCCTGGTGGTTATTGCATCTGGAATAGTGCTAGATATTGCCAGTTGTGCCAATATATAAGATATATTTCACAGTAAAGGGGATATGATACATTAGATATCACTATATGGGATTATACACAAAAAGTTACATTTTATCTTCATGCAAGCACTTATCTTGAATATATATAGCCTAATCAGCTTTACTAAATTGATAGTTACAATTAATGTACCTTTGAGAATCTTGTGGTTGTATCAACTGTGGTAATATAACATTACAACTAATAGTGTTGATCCAATCTTCTAGAATATATACTTCATTATAAATACTGTTTAATATTAGCTCCACCTGATGTGTTAAAGATTATGGTATGAAACAGAGCTTTGCTTTCTTTTCACATTGTCTGGCAATCATTGTCAACTTTGAAGTTTGCTGCACACTGATTACTTGACTGATCAGTAAGTTGAAGAATTTTTGGCAGGCTCACACACATTTTCAAGGCATTTAGTCACACAGTGAATAAAAAGGTGTGGAACCAAGTAGGCCTAGGCCTAGAAAGGGGTTACAAAATTGTCAAAGGGGGCTCACAGGCAATTCTTTTTACTATATACAATGAAATTTGAAGTGGGAGGGCCAAAGCGGGGCCATCTTTCTGACTATTTTTAAAAACTTGTAATTGTCTTTCAATAACTAGACTAGAACTAGTGCTGTTCATATAAAATTCACCCTCTACATACCTTACTCTGAGGCTCCATCTTTGGTGATATTTTACCAGCCTTTTCAAGCTATAAGTAGGTTTTATCTACATTTATTAACAGTCATAAGCCTATAACAGATGGGGATACTGAATTTCATAAACTTTTATAACTTTGATTCATTTAGGTCAATAATCAATCATTACGAAAGATAAAAAAGTAATCGCCCATTTCTTTTCCCGTAGCAGCGAAAGAACAAATATTTTATTTCAGAGGCATATAGAATTTCATAGAGCAGGCAGTAGCCTCTATCACTGCACATAAAAAGGACTGCATTTGACAAAGAATATCTATGTCAGGTGCTACAGATGAAACAAAACAATAGATCTCTTACGATACAGCTTTCTTTCATCAACTGTAAAGATACCCCTGGTGGACCTTCTTATATTTACATGGGGAAAAAAGTTCACAGAAAAATCCCTGGTGGACATTTTGGCATTAGGGCGACACCGTTTAGATATAATAATGGGAGATAACTCTCAAATTTTGATAGCATTGGAAACGGAAAATTAAAAGTTGTTTATTGTTTTCACACATTAACCCAATAATTGTTGTGCTTTTGGTATGTTTTTATTTTTCATTACTTATGTATTATGAAGCCAGAACTAGCCTACAACATCTGCAGTTGCCAGACTTGGAGTAAACTGGCATTGGCGATTTTCAACTGTCCTTTCTTAGAATTTCTGGAAAATTCTACTTTCTTACTGCACATACCATACACTCTAGATTAGTACAGTTGTGTAACCTATTTTCGTGGATATAAGGATTCAACACCGAATTTCGTCAAAGATAAAAAAATGAAATTTTTTTTTTATGTCTCAGATGTTTCCTCAGATATTCTACAAAATAATTAAAATTGGTTTATTTCGATTTTCTTTATAAATCCTTCACTTTGACCCATATTTCATGAGCAACCAACTCGGTAACGGCGGCAGAATGCGTCACCTATTTTCATGTACAATGTTTGATCTATAAATAAGTCGAGAAAAACACGTTGTATGGATACCGGGTGGTATAATTAACTTCTCTTAGTATTTATCTTTAATATCAATTCATTATAACTAGTGACAATTCCTTCAAAGAACCACGATTTAAAAAAAATAGTTACTGACAAAATAAGATACCGGTACTTAGCGTGATTTATTGCTAAAAGTCACTTAAACAACATGAGAATATGGTCCACTTTGTGTTCCATAGAAATTTTCTGCTGACACGGAATCCGCTAGTTGATCACGTGACTTCATTTGTTGGAATATATTCTAGCAGACGACACTTGGAATTCCGATTACCGCTTGGGATTATAAGGAAATTCGGCCGATTAAAAATGGGGACGTTTGGTAATAAATGAAATCCGCCATTTTGTTCTTGTCAAAGTATACATTAATACATTTTACCTTGGATTAAACTAATGGATTCATTCTACTAGCTGATATTGTAGAGAAAACCCATGTTTATCAAAACAAGCAAATGCGGAGGTCACGCTAGGTCACACATGTAAATTATTAATCATTTCCGGAAATCCACGAATAATAGGTTTCCACGAAATTAGGTTACTTGACTGTAGTATCTTGGGTATGTTTACATTTAGTGAAATAACTAAAGTTTTGACATTTGACATTAAAATAAAGGAACGTTGAAAAGTAATCCATTTAACTACCATACCATGTAGGCTTATTCATGTGGACTCTTAACAAGACATTTTACAATACATATGATACAATGTCAATGGCCCTATCTCCTTTAGCTAAATTTCCTTACCAGAAGTTTAATGAGTGTTGAAATCAGATTTTTAACTTATTCAAGGATGTTATATTTTATACATGCAGTAATATTATATTGTTGTTCTTGTAGCTGCTATGTTCTAGAGATATTTAAGAAAAAAATGGCAACCTCTGATAATCATCCTGCTGAAACAGTTCCTATGCCTTCTGGACAGAAAACAAGGTATGAATAAAATATCTTAATGTTATTAGCTATAATTTGCAGAAGAGCTTACCCTACTTCGCTGTGTCACTCACCTACTCACTTCACTATGTATTTTAGTGGAGCTTGAGTTCATAAAATGCTTCTAAGCTTAGGCTTAAAGATGGGTTTCCTTATTTTTTATTGTCAAACTAAGCAAACTGTTTGATTAATTATCTTTCTAATGAATTATCGTGTATTCTTAATCATATCATTATTTTCTTATATGGCATATAATTTAGTTTTAACCAAACATAAATGTACAGTCTGGATAAACAAAAAAATAGACTTTTTGACCTTTCTTGATCGGTCACTCATTGGTAATTCTCTTCTAATTTAGCTAATTATGAATTAATTATGGACATGTCATTAAGTCATTTGAACACTTCTACTTTTTATTCATATAACCCATCTTTAAGCCAGAGCTCAATGATAAAAGGGTCCACTGACCCTGGGAACAATCTTGGCCACTGACCAACAGAGTCATTGATGTGTCATGAATTTTTTGTTAGCCTCAAAAGCTGGCAAATTGCAAACTTGCATGAAGAGTAAAATAAATGAAATTAGGAAAATTCTGATATCTTTTTAGTAAAACATCTTTCTTACTTATGCCACCTGCATTTAAGCTAAATGCATGCATTCCACTAAATACTTATACTTATACTTATAATATTTATATTCTATAGGTATGATTGGTATCAAACACATACACATGTTGTTGTTACCATATTGATAAAAAAAGTAAAAGCAGAAGACACCAAAATAGATATTACAGAAAAAAATGTGAGTTAAATATTTTTTATTCTAAATGACAATTATAAGGCCTGTTATTTCTTGAAATGGTGAATATTAAAGAAAGATGTTTTCTAGCATTTGTATGTGTATGAGGGGCATTTTAGCAACACATGGCATAATCTAAAGATTGTTACAGGTAGGCTACTTATCAAACTATCAGTTTTCAAATATTTATTGTAGTATTGAGCTATATATATGTGAATGCATAACATCTAAGCTTAAGAGTGGCCCACAGACATTACTACAAAAAATAAACAAAATTATTATTCAAAAATATAATTTATGAAATTCAAAATCATAATTTATGAAATTCAAAAATAATTTATGAAATTCAAAAATATAATTTATGAAATTCAAAAATAATTTATGAAATTCAAAAATATAATTTATGAAATTCAAAAATAATTTATGAAATTCAAAAATATAATTTATGAAATTCAAAAATAATTTATGAAATTCAAAAATATAATTTATGAAATTTAAAAATATAATTTATGAAATTCAAAAATATAATTTATGAAATTCAAAAATATAATTTATGAAATTCAAAAATATAATTTATGAGATTTAAAAATATAATTTATGAGATTTAAAAATATAATTTATGAAATTCAAAAATATAATTTATGAAATTCAAAAATATAATTTATGAAATTCAAAAATATAATTTATGAGATTTAAAAATATAATTTATGAAATTCAAAAATAAAAAAAATAGTATAAATAGAATAATAATTAAAATGTTACCACTTTTAGGCTAATATCCTAATTATATTTTTAGTTAAGTGTGCTAATAAAGTTACCCTCTACCAGTAGTGAATTTACATTAGATTTGGACTTGGCACATCCTATATCTCCTGAACAAAGTTCTTATAAAATAATGTCTACAAAGGTGAGTTTATGATATAGTTATTTAAATTTGTCATTTGATATATTAATATTAGTAATACTTTCATACCAGATTGCTAACTACTGCTGGCACAATTATAGAGGTGAATCAGTTCAGAGTGATACGCATATATCAGTCTGATTGAAATTAGACCAAACTTTCATTCTGTTTTTTTTTATTACCTTTTCTTTTTATATACAGCCACTTCAGTTAGGGTCTAACATCAGCCCTCTTGAACGTTCCTCAAATTAACCTTTTGACCTAACTCAATGACGTCTGCTTTGACCAATCCAATTTCTACCCTCACCAGCTCTAGCATTTTTTGGTGTTTCTCAGGTAGAGGTCAAAAGGTTAGTTGGACGAACAGACTGTCGTTGGACCCTAACTTAAGTGCCAATATTATTTACCAGACTGTAAAATAAACAGTCGTTAAAAAGTTGGAAGTGTAACTTTTTGTCAATTATCCCATATCTTTTTCTGTTAATTTTGTCTCCACTGTAATCTAACAAATTTTCTACCAGTTTTGTCATTTTTAACTTGTTGATATATATTTTAGGTAGAAATAAAGTTAAAGAAAGGGGAAGGAATACAATGGACTAAACTAGAAGATGATGGACAAAAAGACAGTATAAAACAATTCCAACCACGTAAGATAGTTTGAATATTATTCATTTTATACCATCTTCACAATGTCAAGCTATTGTGAATTTTGTACTTATACCTTGACAACAATGGTCACCTTTCTTGTGATTCGATTCGAAATCACAAATACAGCTAATTTGTTAGCCTCGAAAGAAAGTCTGTTAACAAAATGTCATAGTCGTATTCGCTGGCCTACAATCCGACTAAATAGCTGCATTCCGTGATACAAGATTAGTAGCTTGTAGGTAGTGGTAGTTATCTTAAAAAATGGGTTGTCCACCGATTGCGACAATCCATTTAGAACATGAAAAATCGATCATCGGTATAGTCATTTTCAAACAGATATAAATGCACAGGGGAACATGCTGTTACAAATCCATACTCAGGAAAGATTCCCCCAAATCATGACAGAACTTAACTTAACTTCACCCATTGCTAGAATGGTATCTCTCAAATCATGAATGCCACATGCCTCAAATTACTTTAATTGCAAACAAACAGCATTTAAAAAAATGGAGAAGACCGATTGTAAAGTCAAATCTGTATTCAGGGGCTAAATATTTGAGCCGGATGAGGAGGTCATCTCTGCCAGTGCATTGATGTCAAGGGAGATAATGTAATAAATAAAACAGTTTTATATAAAAAGCTAAATACTGATGGAGGCCGAGAACGTCAGTGATGTCTCTGATAAACATTATGTAATACGATACAACAAAGACATGCTCTGAAGTTTTATTCAACAATTATGGTGTTTAAGGGATAAGAAAGAGGTTTTCTAAACCTTTTATGTGTCTCAGGGACATTGAAAGCATTGATTTTCAGTCTGGTGTTTGTTGGTGTGTCACAAAAACTGCTATTTAGTATTAAATAGATAGTTACTGTTACAATAATAAAACATTTTCACTGTTAAAATAGTGCTCAATACATCGATTGTAGAGTGATATAGAAATATCAAACGTCATTGGCATCAACTTAAACTGAAAAATAATTCTTACAAAATATCCTGGTCCATTGATAGCAGAGCTAAAGCCTACAAAAATAAAACCAAACGATGTAATGTTTGTTTAACTGCAGATTTATCCATTATTAATGCCCCTAAACAGTGACACACTTTTTTAACAAACATTCCAAACTCGTTTCGAATTGAATACATGAGAATGAATTCTACTTGTTCAACTTCAGTAGGGACACAGGCTCAAAATAGGTCAGTTGTCTGAAGATTGCAAAGTTTGAATAACAACACAAGTTCTGTTTTAATATTTATATATATAAGGCAAAGCGTTTCTATAATTACAATTGCAGACAATCCAGTGAAAAATTTGAATGATGCAAATAGAAGTTCTTTATAATCCCTTTTGATTGTTTTATAATTGACAATCTTTGCCCAGTAATGTATAACCTGCCAAAGTTGTCGTTTGTATTGAATCAAGATTATCAGTGCTTAACAAGGCACATAGATTGTTTGGTTGTGAATACTGTAAAATCTGACATGCAGTATTAGCATTACAGGCATTGATACAATCTTGAAGGCTTTGTTCTTCCGTGACAGCAATGGTTGGTGAGATATAAAAGGAGCAAGATCCTTCTTTAAAGAATGCAACACTGCACATATCATCCATATTGCAGATATTAGTACATCCTTCTTCGTTTGGCTGCTCAGTACCCCTTCCAGTAATTTGTGCAATAGTGTTCAACAAGGCCACACACTCTGAAATAATTGTGAAGAATTAATGCTTATTAAACCATAATCACACTGTGAATAGTTGTTTTTAAATTGAAAAGGATTTTTAGATTGTAAGGACAGTTTGGAAAGAGTTTTTTTGATTGAGAGGACAGTTTGGAAAGAGTTTTTGTGATTGAGAAGACAGTTTGGAAAGAGTTTTTTTGATTGAGAAGACAGTTTGGAAAGAGTTTTTTTGCTTGAGAGGACAGTTTGGAAAGAGTTTTTTTGATTGAGAAGACTGTTTGGAAATAGTTTTTTTGATTGAAAAGACAGTTTGGAAAGGGTTTTTTTGATTGAGAAGACAGTTTGGAAAGAGTTTTTTTGCTTGAGAGGACAGTTTAGAAAGAGTTTTTTTGAATGAGAAGACTGTTTGGAAATAGTTTTTTTTGATTGAAAAGACAGTTTGGAAAGATTTTTTTGATTGAGAGGACAGTTTGGAAAGAGTTTTTTTGATTGAGAAGACAGTTTGGAAAGAGTTTTTTTGATTGAGAAGACAGTTTGGAAAGAGTTTTGGACAGTCAAGTTAAGACATAATTACACTATGAAGTGAAGCAAATCTTACATGAAGTTGCATCAGGGTATTAAAAAGGTATTTCTTGCAGAATCGTTGTAATGATCTTTATAGATTTCATTTGTTATTTATTTACTTATTATTGTACACATACCTGTACATTCTCCATCAACATCCCATTTTCCACATTCATTACATACTACTTTTCCCATTCCTTTAAATCCAGAATTGCATGTAAAATCATATTCATCACCAAAACGTCTTGAAACAATAACAGTGTCTAGTAAACCATTAGGTATAACTGGATCATCTTCACATAATATTTCTGTCAAATAAAACAAGAAAAGGTGGTAGAAATATAAAATACACGTGTCTAAGGTTTTTGGTCCAACTTTTCTGGTCCATTTTGAGTTAATGAAAACCACGGTAAAAATACTTTTCAATCCGGTTGCAGAACTATAAATTGGGTGATTTTTCTTTTCATCCATCCTAAAAGGGTCAGGCTGAAATTTGGAAAATAAATGGCTTAAATCCTGCATTTTATGCAGTTTGATAATTATTCTTCAATAACATTATCTTTTTACAATGAAATATTTCAAGTTTGAAAGACTTGAAGTAATATATAGAAAAGACAAAAGAAATAGAAAGTTGAAATACCTAGTTTGGGGTATTTTGAATGAATTATGTGATTTTCGTGCATCTCTTGAAGACTTATTTACGTATATTCAAGACCCAAATCAACCCCAGAAAATGGCTGATCTATCTTTTAGAAAAGGTTGCCTAATTGGCAAACTCACTTAAAAGTGATAGATACCGTCTCGTAGAAAAGACAAATATTTTTGCAAGGCTTTGCTTAAGTAAAAATTCTTACCTTCACAAGTGACTTGTGGAATTAAAGATTTACCACCACGGCAGTCAGCCATTACTGCTAATCTGAAGCCACCGTTACAGCCATAGACTACTTTATTTCTTCCATTTCTGGTTACTTGTCCATTACTCAGAGTAGGTAGATTTCGACATCGCTTGTCTGTACATAGATAAAAGGCTTTAATATCAATATATAGTTTGTGAAACCTGTGCATTCTATACACTAATGGCATCTACACTCTATAGGTCTTCAGAGACAATAAAATGAAAATACATCGAACCGAACACCCATTTTAACAGGTTTAACATCTGTAGATAATAAGCCACAATGATAGAGGGCACTAATGGGCTGAATTCGTTGGCATAAAATCCAATCAAATCACTGTATTCCGTAAAACAAGAACAGTGGTTATTATAGTCAAGGTATAAGAAGGTATTGTGAAGCTGTGGGTCTGAAGACGATGTAGACATGATTTCGCTTTTCTATTTTCTAACCTGGATCTCATATTACATCTTGCTTATTTACACCTTTATAGTACAAGAGTGTTTCCCATATATACGAACTTACTGTTGGAAGTGGAACTGGAACTGCTATTTGATGTTTCAGTGATAGCTAAGAAAACTAAAACAATCAGCAAAATATGCTGTGATGCCATCATAGTTGACCTATCTACTGTTGAATAGAATTAGCCAAGTTAGCGAATAAATCCGGATAAATTTAACCAGTTTATACTTAAATGTTCTGATTTAGAAAACAAATACCTAATTTACAATAAAACTAAATTACCAATAAGGAAATTAATTTTTTTTTTATGTATTTTGGCCTACGAAATTGACAGGGTGTCGGCGCCTAACTATTCTCGACAGATGTTATATGATTTTGAGATTTCACATATTTATTTCAATTAACTGTAAGTTGATTAGGTTTATCACAATATAGTTTAATTAGATTCATCTGGGTTTTGAACCTTTTTCTCTATTACCCCCTTCAGAATTCTTGATTGATTCATTACCCCCTCCGCTTATAAATTATTTCTATGACATGACCCGTGATCTGTTGCAAAAGGTTCAGCCTTGAATTAACTTGAAAATTTACTTTACATGAACTGACTTCACGTTGATACAATTCGAATAGTCAGGACAAATGGTAATCTAAGTCGAGTGACAGTTTAATTGAAATTTCTTCATCCATAGACTTACCTGGTGTCAAAACTATGCGACCGAATCCAATAAATCCAAAAAACTGAAGTAATAATCCATTGCACTACATGTAAGTAATTCTGAAACACGCTTAGAAGTGTTTGTCAATAATTACTTAGTTGAATGGATTTATCGTCGTTTTTAGAGATTCTATTCTTTAGTCATGACACCTGGTAAGTCCAACTAATGAATATATGTTCATATTGGCCAAATTTGAGACTTTTAATTTTATGTCCATCCTGAGAGGTAGTACTCATTTAAGATTTTGGTGAATACTAACGTTTATGAGCCAAGTACTGAGGAACTGTGAATTTCGATTCGGCTTATATAGGTACCGCCATTAACATAAGTCAGTAGGCTATGCCAGAGGGATGTAATTGATTAGGTTCGTGAGGAAGTTTGGAAATATCGTGAGGTAATAAAAAAAACACCAGAAGTTATTTAATTCCTCATCAATCATTTGGTTTATCAATTTCAAGTAAACTCAAGACCAAAACAAACTTTACCACTTTAAAAGTGAGTTTTAACAAAAATCATATCGCAAGTTCGAAACTTATCCACCCAACTTACATTGGCCAAACACAATAATAACTTATACCCGAGCACTGCTCATTGTGGTGGTAAAATCTCAAAGAGTGAAAATCACGTGATACTTGAATAATCAAAAATGCATGTGCACCAAGGGTATAATAACGTGTTGAATAGCATGTGCTTACACAGTGTTAAAAAAACAAGCAGAATACCACGACTGGCACAGCAACTACGTGAGCAAGCTCTGGAAATTGTACGGATGGGAGCCACCCATGTTCACATCGCAAGAACTTTCGGTTGTTCCTGTGTTACTGTAACAAACTTGATGCTACGTTACAGACAGACAGGTCACACGCCAGACAGGCCTAGAACAGCCATTACGAACTTTCTTGGAGTAAACAATATCAACGTGTTGCCGTGGTCTACATGTTCCCGGGCACACACCCCCTCCCCCTTTCATGATCATGTTTATTGTTTACTAACTGTTATGTATGATGGCAAGTGCACGAGGTGTGGACACTAACGTACAATATTGTTGTTGTAAGACCTATATGTCTTCCTTTTCAGCAAGTTACCCTTCATCCAGTGTAGCTCACAAGAAAGATTGGGATAAGGTATCACGAGAGGTAGCTGAAGAAGAGAAAAATGAAAAGCCAGAAGGAGATGCAGCATTAAATGCTTTATTTCAACAAATATATGCTGATGGTTCAGATGAAGTTAAAAAAGCAATGATGAAATCTTTTGTAAGTTTCATTAAAGATATTTTGATTATTACTCCTGGTTCCATTATTTGATCTTTCTAGCTGTCATGGACTAAATCTGGAAGTCATCAATTTTCATGCATAAGAAGCATAGTATTAATGCTATCTTAATATTTATTTTACCAGCTGAATTCAATTTCAACAATCCATATCACTTTTCAAAATTAAAATTCTGTATATGATTTTCATGAAATTCAACAATACATACCGTGACAAATTGAACTGCCATTTTCATTATTAACTGGGCGTTTGATATTATGTCATATTTATAACTGTCCACGAGAAACTGATGACAGCCCAAACGTCAAAAGTGAACCTTTATTATATTGAAAGGGTATAAGAAGACATATTTCAATTGGGAAAAGTGATACACATAACAGTTGAAATGAAGTTCATCTTAGACAGTGGCAGCGCTAACAAATAGGGGACAAATGTCGGGGCCGAAAATCAAATTGCGGCAACTCTGTGGAAGCGCTTTGTCGCATGCCACTAATAGAGCGTCTGGGAAATTTCCAAAAAATTGAATTGATTTGGTGTATTCTGACACATATTTTTGGATAAAGACGTATAAAAATCATATTATTTAATTTGTCGAAAATAAAGTGGGGGTACAATTGAGGGTGCAGACCATTTTTCTAGGAGGGCAATTGTTTTAATAGCATCTGCGGAGCCGCGGTGGCTCAGTGAGTTAGACGCTTGCTCGCTAACCTGAAGGTCCAGGGTTCAATCCCGGCATGTGTCGGACTTTTCAACCCGGTTTCCACCTATCAGTGATGCAGGTACGAGGGGCTGACATGGAAAAAGCGTCTAGTCGTTCGGATGAGACAATAAACCGAGGCCCCGCGTGCTACAGGCTCTGCACGTTAAAGATCCCTCGACAGTTGGAAAACTAAAAAGAGCAGGATAATGCCGCTGTCCCTGCATGGCGTTCCCACATGGTGCAGAAAAGTAGGACGTAAAACTCCATTCATTTCATTTTTCATTTCCTGCATGGCGTTGCCCGTCTTCATTAGCCCACATGGTGCAGAAAAGTAGGACGTAAATTTCATTTAATAGCATCTGCAAGAGTGTCCTCATATATTTGTCAAGTTTCTATGGGAGAACAAACTGAATTGTACCAAAGGTATCAATGTCCTTGAAAACCCTGAAACAATCTTTTGATTGTTTTGATTCCTTTTCAAAGATTCAGTAAACCACTTTTATCTGTTATTTTCTTTGCAGAGTGAATCAGGTGGAACTGTATTAAGTACGAATTGGAATGAAATCGGTGCTAAGAAAACAGATGTCAAACCTCCAGATGGAATGGAATATAAACAGTGGTGAATTCAAACAAGAGCATGTTAACTTATTTTGCAAAAGACGATTAAAACTGTGAAGACACCAGTGTCTAATTTGTTTTTGTACATGATTTCCAGTTTTAATTCGTAAAATAATCTATACATTATTATTTACCTGTTCTAGGTCTTCAAAATTCAACCAAAAAAATTTACTGTTCAATGAGATTTATCTAAGGCACGTGAGGAATTGTGTGATGTTGACTTGCATAGTCATCCCACTTACAACAACCGTTTTAAAGTAATTATTATAAATTACAACACCTTGAACTCTTTTTGCGAGAACATGATTTAAAGAAAAATTTCAAAGCTACCAGTTGACGTATATTACCTTGCCTGGCAAGATATCTTTTAAATATATAGGTGGTAAGTTAAAGGGATTGTAAAGAGGTTCTCTAAACTTTTTATATACATCGGGGACACTGATAGCATCAATTTGCACCATTCTAATTTTCTTTGGTTCTTGCAATTCTACTAAAACTGGACGTTTTATGACGTCACTGTCGCAAAAACTACTACTGTATTGATATATAAGGACCTGTCTAATGGTGACGTCATAAAACGTCAAGTTTTAATGGAATCGCAAGAATTACAAACGTCTAATTGAAAATTGGAATGGTGCACATTGATGCTATCAGTGTCCCTGATACACCTATCAATTTTAGCTAACCACTTAACAATCCCTTTAATATGATTCCAAGGGTATCTCTGAACACACTCTATATATTAGTGTTTATTATGATTAAACCTATTTGAAGATTTCAGAGCTGTTATGAGTGTCTTTTGTTCTTCAAATGCAAAAATAAACAGTTAACCAAATTGATGGGGTTTTTGAAGTCGTATGACCATGTCAATTTGAGATTTTTTTGTGCCTGAAATAGGTGAAAGTATCAGAACTGTCTGAAATGTGTTGTGAATACTTTGGACATGACTACTGGACCATTGTTATCTGATTTAAGTAATTGGACAGAGGTTTTCTAAATTTGTTATGTGTATAGGGGACACTGAAAGTAGCAATTTAAACCATTCTAATTTTCAATCAGACGTCTGTGGTTACTGCAATTCCCCTTAAATTATGTCTATCATGACGTCACTAATCGCAAAGCGCCTTATGAGATGAAGCATAGGAAAATTTTGCGATTAGTTACTTCACCAAACACTTAGTTTTAGTGGAATTGTACGAACCACAGACGTCTGATTGAAAATTGGAATGATAATAATATATATATGTATATAGCGCTAAACTCCACACAAGAGTGTTTACAGAAACTGGAAATGATGATTGATGCCGTCAGTGTCCACGATAAACAAATTTTAAACATTTATACAGTCCCTTTAAATGCTCTTCAAAACTAATACATTTAAGTGCAACTACAACATTGTCAACTCACCTCCTGATGAAGAAGGCCTAAGACAATAACATCCATCCGAGGGAATTCCAAACATGAATAAGGACGTGCATCATCTTTGAAGGCAGACTATAATATTAGGCTACATCGTGTGCAGTAATCTTTGTAAGGGATTGTAAATTCCCTGTTATTCAACTAGAAATAGGCCGCTAAGCGTCTGATGACACTATCGCAAAATATATTATATAAAATGGTCCTCTCACAAGGACTAAATCAAGTTAAATTCCACAAGTTCCTTTGCGATAGTGACGTCATAAAATGCTTAGTTTTAATGGAATTGCAGGAAGCACAAAGGTCTGATTGAAAAATGAAATGATGCAAATCCCCGATACACATATAAAGTTTTGAAACAGCTTGCAATCCCTTTACTAATAGTGATAGGTCATATTATATTGAAGTGAAAATTAAGCCCTCATATGATCAAATGATCATATTTTACTTCAGGCCATCGTAAACTCGTTGGCTTCTATGGGGAGGGGGCTGTGGAAGCTGTGACAGACAAATATCACGTTTGACCCCCTCCTTAGTCATTTTCTAGATACGCCCTGCTTATAAATCCTTCCGATCCATAGAAGTAGGGAAGAAAAGTAGGACGTAAAACTCCATTCATTTCATTTCCATAGAAGTAGAAGATTTGATGATGTTATTAGCATACTTCCCTCGCAGGAATTACCCGTGAAAGAAAATGGTCAACATTTTGGACTCACTTGTAAAATCGTTTTATAAATAATAGTTTTTTCATCAATCACATTCAAAGATGCTATATTATGATGCAAATATGTGATTCTGTAAACATTATGGTAGGGCAGTAGATCTCGACCGATTATACTGCTAAGAAACAAAACAATTAATTTTTCAATCAGATCCGATCACTAATTAATAAAACAACAGACAAGGAAAGTTGTTATTATCTACTTAGTTACCGATAAACAAGTTCTAGCATGTCAAGCGTCCATTTTGAATTTCCCTTATCGTTAGCGTACAGTCAGTTAATGCAACGGATATGAGTTGATTTTTCTACTGCAACTGACGTATAGTTTGGAAATAAATTTGTATAAATTTGTTATCTCCGATGCTCTCATAAAGGTACGTACTCGTGGACCGACTTACAGTCATATAGGTTATGTTTACACATGTTTTGACAATTGGCTAAACGCCATATTCAATAGTATTGTAGTCAATAGTATTGGGTATCGATTATCAAAGGGATATTTATAGACATTAGGGTTAAGCTATGATTCATATATGAGGGCTGTCCCTTATCAACATAAGATTTGTTTATGTTTTGTGAAACTGGTATAAATAGTATGGCCTGAAGACGTATAAATAAACACTAGCACATGTTTATGACATTTCAATAAAATAAAAGCACGGAGTAAGATTTTTCAGGTAGGAAAGGTCTATATTTTAATAAGTCATTTTTTTAAAGTAATTATATCATTAACAGTTAAATTTTATATTCTAATCACAATCAATTTTTTGTTATGATCAGTTGCCGAAAAGTAGGACGTATAACCACGTTTCATTTTATTCCATTACTCCTGTAATATACCATCTCGCAGATAGTAAAAGTCACGATAGAATTGTTGTGATCAAAACTGAAAACCTTATCAAATTGATAATTAAAAATTCTGCCCCTTGAGTCCTAGAAATTCCATTTAGCCTGTGTGGTTAGTTCGAAAGGTTGGAAACTATTGGTAAATTGATAAATTGGACTGGCAAATACAAAATTATGCTTTGACCGAATGAAGCAAAATTACGTGATAATTTCTCTTTTTCAAAGCACAGGGTCTTTTCATTCCGGAACTGACGTTCGTTGATATATTTTGGAAACAGGTGAACTTTTGACTATTCCTCTTCACTTGTTAAGATCTATATTTAGCATCGTGACAAAAGAACAAAGGCCCCAACGAAACATTGCGATGTTAAACAAAGACACAAAGATGGCAATATGCCAACGTAATATGATAAGCAATAAACATAGCCTTTTAAAATACCTATATAATTATAATCCCAAATCATCTATTCATTCAGTCGTAAGGCAGTAAGGGCATGGCTTAAGGTAATCATTTAATCCTTAAGAATATTAATTGATCTTAATGACGTCCGTCAACAAAACTGTTACTAGTATCTTTTCAAAATATCTTAATGGGACAACCAAGTTTCGTAATTGTACATTCGATATCGAGTCCAATAGATAACAGACAAAGATTTCGATCATGGAAGAAATGGAAAATACCTGAAAAAATTTAGCTTTGATTCATTATTCTGTTGATTCTGCTGTATATCAGATTTATTCTAGCCTTTTGAAATCGTTTCTGTGTGAATATCCACACAAAATCTACATATCATACGTGATATTGTATCCTCGACCGAACAAAGTATTGATAACAGGAATATCAGTCTGTTATCACAAGGTTTTGATATCGAATATCCACTCATAACCCCCAAGACAACAAGGTAAAGAATCTCTTACATTCGATCATAACTTTTTTTCAATTTTCAGATCAGTTAAACCATGGCAGAAACAGATTCTACTGACGCTACAGATTCGACCGGAAGTAGAAATCTAATAGTTGACTCAGCTTCATTTGAGGAACAATTTTTACGATGTCAGGTGTGTCGAGAGAAGTACGACCGTGAAGCAAGACCCCCAAAATCCTTACCATGCAACCACACATTCTGTCAACCCTGCTTAAAGCAAGTTTTTGATCACGGACAACCAGCATCTAGGCGAGAACGACCACTATGGGCAGGCGAAAATCGTGAAGGAACGCTCAAATGTCCAACGTGTCGTGTCGAGATTTATCTTAGCAGAAGTGAAATTAAGAAATTGCCAAGCGACCATCGGGTGATTCAAATGATTGACTTTATGGCTCAAGCTATAACCAAAACACAGAACTCATGTTCAAAACACGAACGCCAACCGATAAACTTCTTCTGTAGAACATGTCTTCTTCCGGTCTGCCGTGACTGTACAGTGTTAGACCACAAGGAACAGCAGGGTCACGTAATTGTTGACGTGACGGATGCTTTGAACGAAACATCCGAGGAGTTTACAGCGCTAGAAAATAAAAGCCGAGAACTTTTGGATAAAATGAAGCAACGATCAGATAGCTTAGCTAATGGTTCAAAGTGGCTTGACATTTTCGAGAGGAAAATTAAAGGTGAAATTAAGGACACTTTTATTGAATATCGATTGCTTTTGGAGCGAAGACAGGACTCCCAGGTTGACATCTTGAAGAAATTCATCAAGGAACAGAAGGAGTCAATGAGGAAGCGGTTTGATGATTTAAATGATAAGGGGACGGAGCTCCAGAAGCTTTACGACACCTTCAAACATGCCAGGTCGACTAATGATGTGCGTCAGCTGTTCACAATAAACCAGAATATCCAAGAACAGGAGGAAAACTTCAAGAAAGAAGCAGAAACCAGTGATGAAGATTTGTATGTCTCCTACAAATTTGAAGTTGAAAACGAAGGGTCTTTTCTAGCCGAGATGAGTGGACTAGGAGAAGTGATATCCAAAAAGGATAAGACAATATCTGAACCTGTTCCACGTCATCAACTGATGCTCTTCGACATGGAAGAGCAGCAGGATGAGGAACGAAGAAATCTTAGTCAGGTGCCCATAGATTGTGACTTTCTCAGTTCCCCAACTGGTGAAATGCCTTCTGGGTTTTCCGGAGTCTCAGATCTAAACGATGAGGACGATGAAGAGGACATGTCGATTTATCCAATGATGGACGCAAGAAGACTCACACGTCTGATCGAAACAGAGTATCCACAATTTAACGATGGTGATTCTTCAGACAATAGTCCAACACGTTCCAGAGATCGTCATGCCGGGCAATATGGGTATCGGGCGATCTTAACACCAGATAACGAAGAAACAGCACAACGTCCATTGCGTGGTCGAAGCCGGAGATCCGGTAGTGGTTCTACTTTGTCACAAGGACTTCTAACGCCAGAACCCCCCAGAGGGACTAATAGATCGGGACAATCTAACGGTAGTCGAAGCTCCAGTGGTGGTAGTGGAACTGGTAGCTCGAGAGCCCGACATTCTAATGCTACTACCACAGCTGATCTAACTGCGCGGATACAAAATCTTCTACAGGCTAGTCGAAATGCACAAGAAGAAACTTCATGAACAGCTATTTGTTAAAATTGTTGTCAATATAGAAATAAAGCCGTCTGGTGTCTTAAATAAAATTCCGCACATTCAAAACAATTCCATTGACCAAAAATCGAGAAGCACCATCAGGTTTTTCTTTTTAATATATGGGCATTAATTCTGAAAAAACTTGTGAACTATGTGACTATGGGACTAAGTGAACCATGGCGGTGAAATATAAAGCTTGATACTTTCTGTGAGCATTCAGTCGGGCGTTAGATGATTGCTTTTGAAAAAAGGTATTGTTCATATTATGGCTCTTCATTCAATAAACCGACATTATTTAAATAAAAGTCGCTGACGTAAAACCAACTTATTATATGAGAACTTTGAGATTTTTAGTCAATTCCATCGTTATTATAAATTTTGTAAAGACTGTGAATAAAAGTATTAATGTTGAATGCATCATGACAAAGATGGGAAAGATGCCGGAAAAAATGCAACAGTGTCGATCAGTTGTGTGAATTATTTATGGGAATATTTTGATAACCAGTAATCAATAAGAAAATAACCACCTTTTTTAATATCTCCATACACTCAAACTAATGTTATATTTGGTCTGAATAAAGTATTAGAAACCAAGTTACTTCCCTTTATTTGAAAAAAAAAACCCTAAACGATGATATTTTCAATTGTTTTTAAAATTTGTTCAACATTCTACCGGGTTCTTTAATTTTTATCAATGTGTTTATTGTCAATCGGGGAATTTGGCCCCTAGAAAAAATCTTTGTACCATCACGACATTGCTTATGAGTATTAAAAATATGCCTTTCCTAGGTTTGTGCATGTATGTAGACTGCACTAAATCAAAAGGTTTATGGAGAGAGGGTCCCTTCTATGTCTGGCTCTTCCACCGAACTGCTGCATTTTCAATTTCAACCTCGGTCCTCCCATAAAGTCACGAAAGAAAGAGAAATTTCGCTGTCCGAACAAAAGCCCTCTGTGGTAGCCGGCTGCGGCCATAGCTACACTCGACTTCTCTCCCACGAGATAGCGAGGAAAAAGACGAGAAAGCGAGAGCAGAAAAGAGAAGAAGTCGAGAAAGCGAGGAAAATACCCATAAAAAGGCTAGAAAATATCTTGAAGATGGGTTTCCTCATTTTCTAGTGTCAAATTAAGCAAACTATTTGATTAATTGGTGTTTCTAATGAATTATCATGTATTTTTAATTATATCATTATGTTCTTATTGCATTTAATTAAGAGTTTTAACCAATCATAAATGTCCATGTATGTACAGTCTGGATAAACAAAAAAACACTTTTTGACTTTTCTTGATCGGTCACTCATTGGAATTCTCTTCTAATTTAGCTCATTATGAATTAATTATGGACATGTGAGACAAACTTTTTAAAGTCATTAGAACATCTCCTGTTTCCATCCATATAAGTATTAGCAATTTCATTTTCATAAATGAAAATAAGTTAACCCATTCTTAACAGTTCTTTTAACATGGGCAATAACACTGAGAGGAGAATTGCTGGTCGAGTCTATCAGTGACACGTCTTCAGTCATCGTAAATGTATACATATAGTAGCATTTTTAATAAACTAACCAATTATATGTATTACAGTGGAATAATTGATGTTCGGGTTGTATTGAGTTTTGTGGGTGATGTTATGCTAGGTTGGACTGTGTGAGAGTTCTCGTGTAAGCAGTGTAAATCAGTGGGCGTCTCCCATCCAAAACTATTGGGTAACTCACGGAGACCCTTCTTTGAATCGGACTCGTGTCATGGATCGAGTAGGACTATATATTGCAGGTGAAAATAGAAATTCTACACAAAGATCACAATATTTTTGTTACATATCGCTGGAAATGGCGTTTGCGGGCTTCATAAAAGTCCCACTTTGGCTCCGACACTGAGGCCTGTTGAAAAGACAAATATAGAAATAGAAAAAGAAATTCCCAATTTGGGATATTTTTGAAGGAATTATGAGATTTTCGTACATATTTAGTACTTCTTAAGACTATTTTACATATATTCGAGGTTCAAATCAACCCCCGAAAATGGCACATCCATCCCTTTAAGTAAATAAATCACATTCTAGTAAAACTGAAATCTGTCCAGTCTTTTACCGGCTGTGCGCCTTGTAGCCACCCATCTGTATATCCCGTCCGAGGGATGGGTACGGCCAGATTTGTCGGTCCATGCGCATTGAAGATTTAATTTTAATTTTTTATTAGGAGCAGCTATCAACAGTAGCAATTCAAGCACAATTCCACTGTTAATAAATATACACATTTATCAAGCCACGTGATCTAACATGTGATTAAGTTACATAGGTTTGAGAATACGATAAGAATATCAGTGTTCAGTTGAATGAAGCGAGAGATAGTTTCGTCTGCTGCCGTATAGTAAAGTTCAAATAGTCCAAATTATAACCTGTGATATACGCTTGTAGTATAATCTATATCAGAGGTTTATCGTTTGATGTGAATTTTATTGAGTAACTTTTTGATGCTAATATTATAACGTATTTAATATGTTTATCATCGATCCCAGATAAATCGCCTTTTTCTGCAGGTTAGTAGAATTGTTTTATTTTAAAGAGCAATGTGCTCCTCATATATTGCATGTATTATGTATTATGTCAGATTGACGCCAGAACACCATAACCTAACATTTTCTCCCCAATTTTACCTACATGTATATCAAACTCGTCTGAGATCTTAACGGAATAATATATATGCATGCTATGAGGGTAAGAAAAATGGATAAAAATAAAAATCCGAACAAGCAAAACCAAAAATCTCATCCAAAGCAAGACAAAATCCAATAAGTGTATAGCAGTGGACTCATTGACCGAGAAGTGCTATCATGTGTTTCCAAAATAGTAAGCATGGCCTAATCGGAATTGATTGGACAGACATCACAGGTAGATGTAACAACGTGAAAGGTGACAAACTAATATTCAACAGGCACTGACTCAGTGTAAAATTTTGTTCACTAATTCTAATATTGTAACAATGGAAGTTCGAAGTCCTTACGTAGATTTAAAAATCAAATATATTAGCATAATATATTATCTGATAATTAATTCTTAAACTCTTTAACTGAGACTATAAATCTATGTATTAAAAAATTAAAACAAAAATAGTGGACATATTATGATTACAATAATATACGATTCTCCATTTAAAAATGAAACGAGTGGAGTTTTACGTCCTACTGTTCTGCACCTAATGGGCTAGTGAAGACGAACATGCAGTATTTAATGAGAGAATCTTTGCCAGGACAAGCGACACAAGCCTACCCTTTTTTGATTTCCAAATGTAGAGGGCCTCGGTAAATTGTCTCATCCGAATGATTAGACGCTTTTTTCATGTCAGCCCCTTCGACCTACATCGACCTATGCCGAGCAGCTAACTCACTGAGTCACCGCGGCAGAATGACAATCCGACGTCTATAATCTAGTTAAAATTGGCAAAAGTGATGACACTCTTAATTGCACTTGTTTATCGATAACTGAGATACAACCAAACATTAATGCATAATATCTATTTTCAAAGACTTTTATTATGATTGTTATGGCGAAATTAAACATGAATGATATGACATAATGACAAATTTCGCTTCGTTCACATAATTATATAGTTTCCAGGGCAGCAAATTACGTAGATTAAGAGGTGGAATCTGATCCCTCAACCTATACGAATTGTCTAAATTTAAGATTCCAGCGTACTTACCCCTTTCTCCGAAATGAGACCTATTTACAACCGAAAGTTTCTGAGTTTCAATTTGAAACAGTTTGTAATGTATAATGTAAAGTGTGTAATGCGTCGTTTGGATGTGTTTTACGTATAGAGTTTGTAATGTACGGGATGTTGTGTATTAAATGGAATATTTAATACGTCTTTTATAATTGACGGGGTGTGTTTTACGTATAGAGTGTGTAATGTACGGGTGTTGTGTATTAAATGGAATATTTATTGCGTCTTTTGTAATTGACGGGGTGTGTTTTACGTATAGAGTGTGTAATGTACGGGATGTTGTGTATTAAATGGAATATTTAATGCGTCTTTTATAATTGACGGGGTGTGTTTTACGTATAGAGTGTGTAGTGTACTGGGTGTGGTCTATTAAATGGAATATTTAGTGCGTCTTTTGTAATTGACGGGGTGTGTTTTACGTATAGAGTGTGTAATGTACGGGATGTTGTGTATTAAATGGAATATTTAATGCGTCTTTTATAATTGACGGGGTGTGTTTTACGTATAGATAGTGTAATGTACTGGGTGTGGTCTATTAAATAGAATACTTATTACGTCTTTTGTAATTGACGGGGTGTGTTTTCGTATAGAGTGTGTAATGTACGGAATGTGGTGTATTAAATAGAATACTTTTTGCGTCTTTTGTAATTTACGGGGTGTGTTTTGCGTATAGAGTGTGTAATTTATGGGATGTGTAAGAGGTATAATATATGAATGTGTAACTAAAGGGCGTGTATTATGTAAAAATGTATTTTTCTAAAATTTCTCTGCATAAAAAAATGTCCCTTGAATTCACTGTCTGAAGCATTCCACCTTAAACTCTTTACATCTATGATAGCATAGATTTGATAATGTGGTATTGTCTAAAATAAAAATAACATTGCATTTGAAGATATGCTAGCGTTTTATAATTCATTAATTAGTTGAAGATGACATGTGTCTGTGTATACAAAGTAACTATGACCTTGATCCACCTTGAAGATGATGTGTTTTGTGCACTGAGCATGGACAATTATTTCAAGTCGATGTTTATTTTTAGACCAACAATAAAATAAAATGAATTTTACACTATGCTATTTGACTAATGAAGACATATAACATGTCATGGGTCATTATTACCGAAATAAATTTTTTATCATTATACACCCACATGAATATGTGGTCGTATTTTGTTGTCGCCCCGGTCCGTCGGTCCGTCTGTCAACATTTCTTGTGAGCACTATAGAGACTACATTTTTGATCAAACTTGGTGTAATGCTTTAG